TTGCATTTACTAATCATAAATTTATATTAATACATAGGATTATGAAAATGATAATTACAATAAGGTTTTAAGTCATAAAAAGCGAAAAATTTCTGAAGTTGATCAAATGTATTTTGACGAATTAAGATCGTTAAGAAAAACTAAAAAAATTAGTTTAGAAATCACACAAGAACATTTAAAGATTGAGAATCAGAAATTTTTAAAAGAATTAGAGGAAAGAAAAGAAGAAAGAGAAATAGAATGTGAAAAGTTAAGTTGGGAAAAAGAAAAATTTGTGAAAGAACAAGAGTTCAAATTTAAGTTAGAGATGGAACGGATGAAAAAAGAATTTCAGTATAATTTGAAAGTTAAAGAACTTGAGCTAAAGTACAAAGAGTAGCTTTATCTTTAGGTATGTAAATATTTTATTTCTAAATTTAAAATATTCTTTTTTATGTAAATTTAAAGTTACAATTATTTATATTATTCAAGTATGCACATATGTAGGTAGGTATGAAATTTGTATACATATCATATTTATTTCTCCAAATTTTCTATATTTTATTCATTATTATTAGTAAGCGAAGGATTTTGGTATTCAGCATATTCTTATCTATATTCTAAAGTATATATATCATAATATGATCTTGTTTTTTTTTTTTGTCTAGTAAATATAAACTAGTAATAGTTATCATCTTTACTATATATTTGAAATAAAAGCAATTCTGAAGTATGTGCTATAAAAATATAAATGATTAAGAAGCCGGTTAATAAGAGGTGCTTTTTTTTTTATTCATTATATCAGATTCTTAGTTGTGTCAATACTAGAAGTCAGTTTTATTATTGTATGTAGATTATTACTGACCTTTCAACTGGTTAAAATGTAAATTCTGACTGGTTATGTTGACCAGTTCCAATTTTTAAATATAACTTTTATCGCATACTACACATTATGACTTGCAATTCTCAATATTTAAAATAAGCGAACCTCAATTTTCGCATTTAAGAAACCATTTTCAGGCAACTAATAACGTATATACGTACGTACGTATGTACGTATATATAACTTTAATTATCACAACCGTACCTGCCTTATCACATTTTTTTGTTATACATACGTACGTTAAAATGATCTTTACCTGTTTTTGGTTTAATACTAACTAAAAAAAGTAATTTCTTGTAAACCTAATTAGGAAATTGCTACAGTATATAATCCAAATACATATTATAATACCGCACAGCTGAAAAAGGTCTGAACTGCTGAAAGGAGCCAGGCTGAATTAAAATTTAAGATCAGGTGTAACATAAAATTAAACTAAAAATACCCAAACCCTAACCCTAACCTAACCCTAACTCTGGTAGTGAAATTTTTTAGATTGGGAATGCTAGGATCATAATCTCAATAATGATGTACAAATATGGAAGATAAATAACAACAATAATTAGACAAATATCTGATATCTGATATGTGAGGAAGGAAAAAAGTACGTATGTACGAAATTTCAACATGACATGAAACCATAATTAGTTTATATCAATAAAGTAAAAAAAGCTTATTTAAAAAGAATAAAGTTATGTTAAGCAAATCAAAAAGAAAACCACTTATTTTTTATATTTTAAAAGGCAAAACTAAACTTTTAAAAATATTTATAAACTAAAATTATTACAACTGTTTTTAACTTCTTTTAGAAACAGATTGAATAATTTTTTTGTGTTGCTGAATGTGACATCGAATACAGTATGCATAGTAAATTATTATTTATGGTTACAATAATTTTTATATAATATCCGTTGACCTCACTCAAAATAAAAAAGTCACTTTTAAATTATTTATCATAGCAACAAATAACTAAGGCTAAAACCAACTAAACATAAATAATAATGTTAAGGCTAATTTATTTTTTTATGTTATTATTGATTTTTATTTGGTCTGCTTCAACCCGTAAGTCAGCAAAATTTCTTTTTTGCTTATTCGAACTTAGTAAAGTAATGGAAGGTATAATGGCGCAGGTAGGTAATATGCGCATTGAAAATAATTCAAGAAAACAAGATTTTTAACAAGTGAATCGAATTTCGTCTACTAAGTAAGGTTATTGGAAATGTCATTGTTTAAATACCTTCAAATTTCGATACGATTTGGTTAACTTTTCATTCATCAACTTTTGCATTATTCATCTTGGGCAGAAAATTTAGTTTTTGTATCAAAATGTACAGCACAAAATTTGATTAATAAAAAGTTAACTAAACCGCACCAAAGTTTGAAGATATCTAAAAAACGACATTTTCAATAACTTTACTTAGAAGGTGAAATCCAATTCACTTAATAAAAAATCATGTTTTGTATTGAATAATTATTTGCCAAAAAAAATTTATGTTCATGTATTATAGTCAAGGAAAGTCGATATACTGTATTATGTAATACAGTAATAGGGATGACGATCCGCCACATTCAATTTTTCGATGATTTTAAACGAGTAATAAAATAACATGTATTTTATTATTAAAGTTTTTTTTAAAAAAAATTAAATTAAGTACGTTGGTAGAAGTACAAGTTTACAAATTTTTTAAATAATAAACTCTCTTGAAAATTTTATTACCAGTTGTTCTTAACTGCGCCAATATACCTCCTGTTAGGCCAGACCAATTTGATTCTCTGTTTTACATTACCCCCCTCTTTCCTCCGGATCTCCTCTGGAAGGGGGGGGGGGGATTTGTGGTTTATTTAGTAAAATTTTTTTCAAAATTTTTTTTTCCGAATTGTTCAGTGACTGTATAAAAATTTCCTAAATATCCCGTAACCTATGTATATTTATCCAAATTTTTTTACTCTGAGGGAGGGGGCGCTGGGGAGTAATGTAAAACAGAGAATCAAATTGGTCTAGCCTTACCTTATATCGTTATAGAGATGTTATCCGGCAGCTACTTCGTAAAAATACCATCCTGGAGGGTAGTGTTCCGCATAATTCGGACCAGGCAGGTATTTTTAAAGGTCCGTACCCGGTCCGAACATCAATTCGGATCTAAATTTAGGGTCTGAACTCGTATCACTTAGATCCGGGTCCGGTCCGGATCCGTGAATATAATATAAAAGTAA